AGTTAGCAACTTAGTGCTAGTGGGTTCCCAATGGGAAATTCCATTGGAACCAAGTAGCACTTAGCAACGACGCTCAAGGAACGCTATGGACAGCGGAAACATGCAAGAGGAGGAGAGTTTAGTGTCGGAGGTCGTGGATGAGTCTCCTCCGTCATCCATGTTTTATTTAGATAACCAGACCTTTACAGCTGCTGGGAGGAAGGATCTGTGATAACGCTCCCTGGTGCATTTAGGGTGCAGCAGTCTGTCACCGAAGGAGCCCTCCAGCCCTAAAGCCTGTCATTCCAGCACCAAGCCTTCACTTCATCAACAATTACTTATTCCCAAAACCAACACCATTTTGTTCTTGCTTCTTTTCAGTCTGCTTCCGCTTGTGACTGGAACGCTCTGCAAAAATATTCTTAAACTGGATAGACTCATTTCAGTTTATCCTTCAAAAAAATTGTATCATCCTTGTTCACAGACATTTGGAGCGGTTTCTCTACATAATCATTTTTTGGTTGTCTGTTATGTTTTAAATTATATTTTATGCATGTATTACAAATGTATTGTATTTATTTTAGCCCTACTTCCCTTTTCCTAAGTGGTTACTCCACTTGTCAGGTCGCCATTTTAAACAAGAACTTGTTCTCAATGACTTGCCGGTAAAAATAAAGGTATATAAAAAAAAAACACAAAGGGAGGGACAAAATCATTATGCATTAATGAAATTATTTTATATGATCATAAGTGCTTTCATGAAGTCATATATTTCTTTTTAAAAAATGTCAGTGTTTAATGTGTACTTCTGCTGCTAAGCTATAAAAAGATAAACTAGTTCCAGAGGAAGTAACCTGAGGGTTCCTTCATAACTGTTTACATTATAACGAAGGTTCCTGGTTAATTTGAGTAAAAAAGAAAAACAAGTAAGGGCAGTTTTTGAAAGTGGAAACAACAGATGTCGTTTCTCTATTCGGTGGGAACATTAAATCAGCTTTTAATGATATTTATAATATTTCTCTCTTCTCAAATGCAGCTTTGTAAAATTTTTTAACGTGTTTTATTGCTCTTTATTGAGGCGGAAGGTTCAGATTGTGGCCGGTTTGTCGGAAGCATCTTGCTAACCAGTTAGCAACTTAGTGCTAGCAGGTTCCCAATGGGAAATTCCATGTTTAAGCCAGAATGATTTGACATTTAAATATGACTTCCCTACAACTTTAAATACAAGTTATTTTCTAAAGAACTTTTTGTAATTAGTAATTCATTTTGATTTTAAGAAGGAAAAATGAAGGTGACCCAAACAAGACCCATTTTAAGCCAGAATTGTCCATACATAGAAATGAATGGTTCAGTTAGAAGCTTTTTCAGGCTTTTCCAAACTACCCAACAAGTCTCATTTACAACCAAACGATATCACATTACATTTTAGAAGCAAATACATCATTCTGAACAAATTAATATTTAAAAGCACTAAATAACCTTAAGATTGGCTGCACTAAAGGCTCAGCTGAAGGTTACAATCAGCTCTGTTTCTTTAACTGCAGCTGTTGCCCTCAATGACTACAGGGAAATGTGTTCGTGTCTGACTTTGACTGTTTCCATCTGCAACACAGGAGGAGAGACTTTACCCTAAAAGAGCAGTTTCTATTTAAAATCTCTAGATAAGGCTGCTCTGTTAAGAGTTAAACAGCAATCTTTCAAGTTGCAGAAAGCAACACCCATCAAACAAGCTTCTCATTAAGTGTATTATGCAATAATTTATGTGGAGATAAAAAAAAACAAATGACAGTCTTTGTAGTCATGTTCAGGCTGTAGTTCAACTATGGCAGCATGACGCAGGATCACAGACTAACCAGACTCACCCCGTTGGAGCTGTTCAGCAGCTGGCTGAAGGAGCTGTGCACAGCCTGGTACGTTTCCAGCTCTGTCTGACAAAGTGACACCAGGTAATCTTTAACCTGCTCGTAGATTCGGCCGTCTAACACCTGCACACGTGGAGAGAAACAGGAGTGCTGTCACCTCTGCAGGACATGCTGACAATTAGATCCTGTTTGGACGTGTGGCCTGACCTTGATGCAGTTCATGAGGTCTGTGCTGTAGTACCGCTGCAGGTGAGCGTTGGAGGCTGCGAGTGTGAGAAGGTAGTCGTTTCTGGCGTGGGTTGCTTTGGAGTTGCATTCACTTCTTTTTGCTTTGAGCTGAAATAAAAGCAGGAATGCAGAGTTAAGCCGGGCATACACTGTACGATTTTCTGCCGTTTTCCAGTCATTAATTTTTCAATCGGGTCGACTTTCAGCCTGATGGTGCATGGTGAAGTATACAGGGGGGAACGAGGGGCCATCAGCCTCTAACGACCATCTCCCGATCAGGAATCGTAAGGTCAGGAGAAAATTAAACATGTTTTAAATTCATTCGGCCGTCGTAAGGTGGTCGTTGGCAAATCGCTCAGTACGCAAACAAAGATCCTTCTTCTTCTTCCTCTCAGATGTAAACCCAGAAGCATGGCGGGGGTGCAATGAGTGAAATGGAGTTCTTTCTGTAAAATTGTCAGACCGTAGTAGCCACGTTTGCTCAGCCATGTCTTTGTCCAAATACATCTTTGCCTTTTCTTTTAAGGGTTTTCAGCACAAAATTGCACAAATTGCCAAGGCAGCTCGTTTCACTCTAGTGAGCTTCAAGTAGTGCCAGCTCACTGCAGAGCTGAGTCCGACGTGGCTTTTAGATGTACAGTGTGAGCAGGTAGATCGCATCAGAGCGTCGGGTCGCACAGTGTGAGAACATAAATCTTGAGCTGTGAACTTTTAAACCTTGCGGTTTCGTCGTGCAGTGTGAGCTGTAGCTGTGTGCAACGACTGAAAAGTATTGCACAGTGTATGCCCGGCTTTAAATGGCTTCAAATGGCAGAGACATGTTTTTAAAATAATAAGCAGGAGATTGTTATCCTACCTTTACACTGGCTCTCTGGAGACTGGAGCGCGACTGGAAGAGACTTAGCTTCGACCTGAAAAATAAATAGCAAATTAAAACCAAGAAAGTTTTTTTTTATTTTATTTTTTATAATTTCTTACATTCACTGCAATAATTGGGTTTAATCCAAATAATGACAATTTGGAGCAATTAGTTTTTTTATTTGCTTTGGCCTCTGATAACTTTAGGATGAACAGATTATCTGTATTTACATCAGTACTGGGGAACCCATAAATTATTTATCATCTGCAACATAAAAAAAAAAAAAACATAGAAACAAACGGCACCTTGTTCTTTTATGCTTTGACCAGAGATTGTTGTTTGTCACCTTTGTTGCTGCAGGTTTTTTTATGTGTGGATATTAGCACCTGGTCAGATATGCAGTTTAATGGATATAAATTACCTATAGTCCCAAACATTACCCCTCCACCTACATGCTTGTAGGTCTGTGATGTTATGTTGTGCCCAGGTAGACTGTGCTGATTTCTTTTAATGTGAAAACAGAGCACTGGTTTGAGAAATGACTTCATTAATTAAAAAAAAAAACACAAAATAAAAAGCTTCAGCCCTAACTATGTCTGCCCTACTTAGCTAAATATAAGGAAAACATTTGGGGAAAGAAGAAAAAAGAATCAGGGTTCCAAACCAGTACTGATAAAGCAGGCATTTCTGTGGTTTCTGCACACAGCGCCACAACAAAAAGCAGAATTGGTATGGTTTCAATTTGGATACTTTCTGAGCCTTTCTGGATGAGGCCGAGCTGCAGCTTTCTTGATGGTCAGAAAAATGCCTGGGATGCTGTGAGTCACGGCACCAGCTGCTAGCGATGCGCCAGGAGGAAGAATTTAAGGGCAGCTTCTTTGACATTTCTAAGAGACTTGGTCAATTTGGAAACCATAACAAATTTGGGGGGGGAAGCAGATGTTATACCTGCAGATAAATGCACCTTCAGGAAAAAAAAGCACAGGCTCTGGCATGTACAATCAGGGGAAGAATCAGGCATTGTCTTATGTTTTGCAGATTAGAAAGCTAAGCTGGATGAATGAAACAGGAATTTCATCTGCCCCCCCCTTCTGTAGAGTGATGTTTTTGCATGCTTAGAGCAGGGGTCGATGTTAACCATCGCCCTATCGCCCGGGGCAAGTAGTTTTTATTGTCGGGAGAGTACAAATTTCATTGCATTTGCCTGCCAGGCAAGTGCAATGATCGCAAAAAAAAATAAACAAATTTATCACTCAAAATTAATTTAAAATCACCGACATTTGATGAAAACGACCCACAAGCGTTGCTGCCACCATTTTTGTTGTTTTGTACACATTCTCGCATGATTTTCCGCCAGATGGCATGATTTTTGTCCGGGGATTTTTGTCAGGCGCGAATCAGACACATTTTTTTCGACTTGGCAGGCTAAAAAACAACAACAAGGCTATTTTACCCTCCACCCAGATAACCCTAGATTAAAAATTATCGGTCAGGGATTAGGAAAATTGGCATAA